GCATTTTGGATTCTTCCACCTTCAAATCCTTTTTAATAACTAAAAACGTTTGTTTTTTTTTAAATTGAATCGGCCGTATGAGTTTTCATGGAAATAATTATTTTATTATGTGATATATCACAATTTTTAAAAAAATAATTTTTAAACTTTAACTTGCTGCAAAATTGAAACTTTAAAATCAATTTGAAAATTTCGAATTTATATAAAATATCTATTCTGCCCAGAGCATGTGAAAATTCTTAATGTTGCCCTAAACATCAGCTATATTATGGATTTTTTTTCAATTTTCTGATTGAACTGTAAATTTGATTGAAAAATCCAAATTCAAATTTTTGTCCCATTTTGCATTTAATATATTCGTATAAAAAACTGTATTGAGGTATGTAATTACAATATTATTTGTTTGTAGTGGCAATATTTGCAATATTAAAAGGCAACTATCAACAAATAATTTTGTGAATAATATTTTGCTCGATGGACAAACCCGCATCATAGAGTGAAAAACTTTTTTCTAGATATTTCATTTACTTGAGAGGCTCAAAAAAATTGCATATCAACTTCAGCAAGCTTCTTGTGGCGGTACCTACATTAGTCAGATGGTCATACATGGTTACATCATTATGCACATTGTCGGCTAATCTGTAAATTACAGGGTAAGCCTACCATTTGTATGGACCTTGCATGTTTATCCTCCCAACAATGTAAATTGAGAACGGAACGCTTCTGTTTATAATAAAGAAACTCGGGAACAGGTTTAATGTCTCATCCAATGCTTCCTTGTATTCAATATCGCCCTGGAAATGAAACATAGCTGTACCTTTTGTTTCATAAATAGGGGTTTCTCTTCTTCTGCATTGCTCAAATGAACACGGCTTCTGGCAGTTCCAACTCCTCCTGCACAGAACACAAAAGTGGCATACTGCAATTAAAGTAGCAGTGTTTCTAACAGCACATACATCATCAATATGTGATTTTTTAAAATATTTCTAGATCTGACAGCTACAATCTCAACCTATCTTGAATTTGTTGCTGCCAAAATGATATTTGTAGAATGTTAGACCAATACTGCACATGTGGACAAGAAACCCATGAGTACCCATAAAACATGTGTTGTCATACTGAATCTCGTTTTCTCACTTTAGTATCAGCAAATTTCTTAACAATGTCTTCGAACTCTATGCATTCTAAATGTCATTTTCTATGTATAACAGAGATAAATCATTCAATGTGTGTTGTTTAAGACTTGATCTCCGATAATTTTTTACGCACTTCAAAGCAGAGAAACATCGTTCACCATTTGCTTTCATTACAGATGTCATTAAGTCATCAAATAATCTCGTCAATTAGAAATATATCCTGTATCGAACATTTTGTTAAAAAAAGGACGACGAAATTGGAGCATGATATGAGTAATGGTGTCCATGTAACATTCCTTATTAACCCTAGCAATACAAAGGTATAAATGATTTTGGGATTTACACAGGAAGGACCTCTGGAGACCACTCCCAAAATTTGATTTCACTGATAGTTTTTTATAATTTCCAAAAAGTAATCAATTAATATAACTAATACTATATATGTGTGTTCATTTAAACAAAAAACTTTATTCAACTTATGGCTTTATAAATGCAAAAGAAAATCAATATTCCCTAATCTATACTTGTATTTAATGAAAAATACCTTTTCCTATATTTTTTGCATATAATGGCTCGTGTATCTTTCAAACAATGTAATGAACTGTATTCTATTATAACTGAAAATATTATTTTCGATGTGTGTTCTCAATAATCACTTTTCATATGAAGAGACCTGTACATTTTTAACTCACAGCCAAGGGTCTCAATAATGCAAATTTAAAACCACATTGAAATTACCTCATGGCAAATTGCATCAATATCTGAACAAACACTGCATGAACGTGAACTGAAACAACTATTTCCAGTCTTTGTTATCAGCCTAGTAATTAGATTAAGGGAAGTTCACCCTGCTGACATCAAGTGGCATCTACAGGCCTTCGCACACAAGAAGTGCAATGGAAGTGTTAATGCACCTGTTAGCTAGTTGTACCATCAAAAATTTATCAAATTTCTGTTCTATTTGATTAATTGAAGTGACTATTTGGGACGCTACAGGCCGAATTCATAGTCGTCACTTATTCTGAGTGTTCCCTTAAGTACACGAATCGCATTCATGAACAGTCCTTAAGTGAAAACTTAAGTGAGCACTCATTCCTATAAGGGAGGCAGCCTGCTCCCTTAAGT